CCACCGCTTCAGCAATAGATAAAGGTATACTCCATGATGCACCTGAAAATATTGATATATCCACTACTGTATATGTAATAATTTTTTGCATTAAATTGGATAATCATAGAAACAAACTAAAATAGCGCATTACTTTCATCAGTTTTCTACAATCCACTGATCAAAAAATATTTTTAAATTTTTTGGTTGACCTCTTTAGAAACTCATCATTAAACAGACTTACAATAGTTACCATCAATTTCCCCTTCAGTTTGATCCTGAATTCTTACTATTTAAATGACAAATAGAACAAAATTCTAAAGATACTTTATCTGAATTAACATGAAGACAGATCCCGGTGTTATCTAAAGTTTGAGATATTTCCTCTGCCGTAAAAAAGTTGGACGTGTCATGTAAACTATCAACTGTATTCATCATGTCGTCACATTTCGGAAGATCTTCAAATATATCCATATTGAAAGAAGACAATTGATCAAAATCAATACCAACGGCGTCAGCATCTTTTTTCTCATCTGCATTGGGCAAATCTGCTTGAGCAATTGGTAATAAATCGTCCAATTCCTTTGTATCCATATAATTATCTTCAGATATTAAACTGGTAGGCAATGCTTCCTTATTCTGAAGATTGTTCTTAACATTGATTATTGGACTTTTGGAAATGGTGTAAGTATGATCTGAATCTAAAAACGACGAAGAGACTTCGTCAACGTCTGGTGAATTTTTGCACGTAAATTGCTTCTGAGAGTTGATGTAAGATTCACTGTTTAGATCCTCGGTTGTGCTATGTCCTATTAACGAGTCATTATTGACGTTCGTAATGAATATATTGGTATTTTGTGAATTTAATATATTTTCCTTCATATTTGTATAACACGTGCATTTGGGTTGAGCATCCAATGTATTCGTATGTTCAGAGTCATAATTTGTATACAACAAATTTCTTTTTTGTGTGGTAATCCTCTGGAGACCATTGTTGATAGTTTTCAACAATGTGGTAATGCTGGTGTTGTTGTTCAGTACGCTTTTTAAATACGCAACTTCGCCGCTTAATCGTTTAATATCTATAGTCTGTTTTTTTATAATGTTTGCCAAGCTCTTGTTCTCCTGCTGATAGAACAACAGCTTATTCTCTATTTTTTCTAAATACGCCTTTTTCCTAAGTCGATTCTCTCGAGCCATCAAAGCATTCCTATTGAGGCAAGGCCTCTTCGAGGGTCCTCGTCCTCGCTTTCGTGTCTCCATAACGATCTCGTTCTCAGTATCAGCAGGCTGTTGGCTATTCCTTAATGATTCTCGCAACTTCATTTTGTACCTCGACTCGTTTCCCTCTGTTGAATTTCCCCACTTGATGTTACTTCCTCGGAACTTCCCTGACATTTTTTTATAGATATCGATTTTACGACAGTGGTCGTGACGAAGCAGCAAAATTTATCGCGGTGTCACAATTTCAATGTACCAAACAATATCGCAACACCAGTACAAAGCAAGTAATCTCGCTATTTACGCATCAGAGAATACGTAATATGTATTTTCTGCACAATTAATGTTATTCCGATGTAAACGTGCTGAGACAGTAAGTGATCTCGGATCTTCAAATAGGAACTTCCTTCTAAATTTTCATCGCGTTTATAGTGGCGCCATCAATAACAAGTTTTATCCTTATGATTACATAATTGGAAATTTACAATAGGATGTACAGCTTATTTATTTTATTTTTTTTCTGAAGTTCCAAAAAGCAAGACTTCTCGCAAACGATACCTACTTTAACAAGTTGTTTCGACAAAGTTGGAAATAACCGTGAAACTGCTGGAAATAGGCATACGTATATAAATACATAGTTATATCTATAGAACCTAATCGTATAGTGCATAGTTTATGGCGAAAATTTGTCTAGTTAAATGAACAGGAGTCTACAATGCAGTAGCTGGAAAGACCGGTCCTTGTTTGAAAATGTAATTTAGAAAGTCTGGGAAATATAATGCTTTTGAAAAATATCAAAATGGCATCGTTTTTCGGAAAGAGGATCATCCTGTCACGAAATAATCCTTTGACAATTCCAAGACGTAATGGTTATTTGATTCTGTATGTATGTTGTGTAGTTATTTAAAGCAAAAATTGCACAATATTATCCATGTTTAATAAACTCTTGTGCAAATATTTGCGCATTTCGTTCAAATAATTTGCAGACAAACGTAACACGATGACAATCCCTTATTTAGTGTTCCAGAAATTGGAGAAGATTTACCAGGAAAATATCCTTTGTTAAAAGAAGACAAAAACCCAGAATTTACAAATATCACGATAGAAAAATGTGTCGCTGTTATTGGGAGGCAAGCGTTGGAGTTTGAAGAAACAGTTAAAACCGTAGGAAAACAAATAGAAAGTAATTTGCTTGTTTTACATTATAATTTGTCAATTTAAATTTATTAAGACAATTATGTTTGATGAAATTGATTTGTAGATGTTGATGAGATCTTTCCAGAAAATCTATTTAAAAATGTATTAAATCCTATAGAGGAAATGCACACTTCTTTAAATATTACCTGGGGCATTGCAAAGACCTTGTATTTAGGAAATCAAAGTTTAATGCCTACGCAATATTACATAAGTATTAATGAACGTGCTAAAAGAGCCTTAGCTTTTAAATATATCAATACGTCGATATATCAAGCATGTAAAAATGTCTTGGATAATAATAAAAATGAATTAAACAACGAACAAAAAAGAGTTTTAACAAAATATATATTAGAAGGAAAATTAAATGGTTTAGAATTATATGATAAGAAGAAGAAACAACTTCCAGCATTGAGGATATGGTTGGCTGAAAAGTTAACAAAATATTCACAAAAATTGGAGGTTTGTAAATAAGTATAAGTTAAAGAAGTATTAATACTGTTTATTTTTTTTTATAGACAGCCATAAGTAATCTTACTTTTACTGTAAGAGATCCTGTCACTGTAAAAGATTTTCCTGAAGATTTATTAAAATACATGGCAGTGAATCCTATGCAGTTTCGCGATGGACCTTGGATAGTAACTTTAACTCCTGATATCCTAGAACCATTTATGGGTATAAATTTATCTATGAAATTGAAAATTTTTAATTGAATGTAGTAAAATTTATTTTTAAAGTCGTAAGATAATCAAATGTACTAATTATTATGGATTAATTCTATCGTATATTGATTAGAGCACTGTTCCGATCGTGCTTTAAGATGGAAAGTTTGGGATGCAGATGTCACCAAAGCATCATTATTACATGATAGATCGGTACAAACAAGTACAACGTTAGAAGAAATTAGACAAAAAAGAAATCAAGAAGGTCAAATATTGGGATACAAATCATTTGCTGACTTAAGTATGGAAACTAAAATGGCAGGCAATGTGGAAAATATTTATCACGTATTCGATACTTTGTTAGCTACAGGTAAAATTTTATATTTATATAGCTGCACTTGTATTAATTAATAGTCAATACATCATAATTTACTTTGTTTATAAAAGCCCGTCCTGCACAACAATATGAAATTAATGAACTTCAAGCATTTGCAAGTGAAAGAGGTATGGAAGGTGCCCTTCAGCTTTGGGATATAGCATACTGGGGTAGAAAACAACTACGTTCTGTATACATGTAATTACAAAATGAAATTTTAAAACTTCGTAGTAAAAAATATAAATATATATGTCATAGTAATATCATTTACAGGTACAAGGAAGAGGAATTAAATAATTATTTTCTTCTACCGAAAGTATTATGTGGCTTATTTGAGTTAATTGAAACGCTATTTGATGTAAAGATTGTAGAAGGCAAAAAACTAGATCTCTGGCACAAGGATGTTCGATTTTTTGATGTGTTTGATTTAAAACAATCAAACACTGATCCAATAGGTAGCTTTTATTTCGATCCATATGCAAGAGGAAATGAAAAAACTAGAGTAGCACAGAATTGGGGATATGCAGTGGAAATACAAAATAGGAGTAAAGTATGTGGTTTAAAACCATTAGTTGCATTAATATTTAGTTTCCAATCGCCTAATGGTGAAAAACCTGCTTTGCTTTCATTCAAAGATCTTCAGATGCTATTTCGACAGGTAAATTTCATGCATATGAAAATAATATTTGAGATTACATATTTTGATAATTACACAGAACATAAACCGCCGATTTCGATGATTTTGGATATAATTTTGAGCAACGTCTCTTAATAACTCTCTCTAAGTCCTATTAATCCACACTGATGTGAAGTGTCAAAAGAATTTTACGAATATGTAAGGCTGAGCAGTGGTTATGTATATAGAAAAATGTTGCTCAAAATCATGTCTCTGATTATTAAAATCGGTAAGGTGCACTCCTATATAATATTTTTGGAAATATATATCTTTTTGAAATATTATTTTTTTATCATTTAGTTTGGACATGCGTTACACTATTTATTAACAAAGGTAGAATACGCAGATATTACTGGATTTGCGTGTATGGAATGGGATGCAGTATTTATTTCTGACTATTTGTTTGAAAATTGGTAATATTTCAAATTCTTATATTTTATGTTATACATATCTGTCTATACACAAATACATACTAACTTATATATTATTTTTTATTTTTTATTTATTAGGTTATATGAACCATCATTTCTGCAAAAAATTTCATGTCATCAAGTTACAGAAGAACCATTGCCTCTAGATATAATTACAAATATAAGGAACTCAAAAACGCATTTAGCTGGTTACAATTTATGCAAAGAAATGTATTTATCACAGTTTGATTTAGAATTATATTCCGGGTAAGACTGAATGTTGTAAATATGCATATATAAATAATATTTACACAGTGTATGTCGTAATATAT